GTATTATTAGTAGTAGAAGTATTAGTAGCATTAGAATAAGTAGTAGCAGTAGTGATATTTGTAGTAGTAGAAGTTGTAGTTGTAGTAGAAGTATCATTAGTAGTAGAAGTATTAGTATTTAGAAGAAGTAGTAGTATCAGTAGTCGTAGTAATGGCAGTATTTGAAGTAGCAGTAATGGCAGTAGTAGTATTACTAGTAGCAGTCGTACTAATAGCTGTAGTAATATTAGTACTGGTAGTAGCATGAATAGCAGTTGTAGTACAAGTAATAGTAGTAGTGGTAGTGGTAGTAATAATATTGATGGTAGCAGTAATAGCAGCAGTAGTAGTAATAGTAGCAACAGCAAAAGTTGTAGTAGCAGCAGTAGTAGTAATACTAGAAATATTAGCAGTAGTAGTAGTCGCAGTATTAGTAAGAGCATTCATTATTTCAACAAAAAAGCCTAATTTTGAGCTTAATGTTTAAATACAGTTAATCCATGGGGCTTTTATTTTGAAAGGGTGGGGCTGGGTGGGGGAGAGAGGAGGAGGAGACAGAATCAGAAAGTATGAAACACACAAACGGAGGTTATTAAATGACAGGCTTTATCACAAGCATTTCAGTTAGAATTCAGTCTGTGGGGCTTTTATTTTTAAATGGGGTGGGGGGAGTCCTGTAAAAAGCTCTAAGACCTGAATGACTGTATGAGAGACACACAGAGGGAGAGAAAGAGACATACAGAGATAGAGGGAGAGGAATGCATGTGTGCCTGTGAGTCTGTGTTTATCAACATCACTAATTAGCTTAATCAGAAACACCTGTGTCCTTGCAGCCTTTTCATGGAGATAAAACAGGGAAACACCTCTCAAACAAATCCTCAAAACTCCCATAACTGTAGCTCCTATTGCTCCGATATTAATAAATGAGAGGAAGGATGAGTTGAAGAACAGATCCTGTAAAAATTGTGTCTGTAGTGTAAAAAATGTGGCTTAACTGGCGATCTAGAAATGGGGTACCGTGTTCTGTGGAAGATGTTTTTGAAGTAAAATTTAAAATTGGTCTCTATGGAGAAGAAAGTTGGTTTTCCTCTCAATTACAGGCTTCTGTGCCAAATGTGTAAATCTGTGGGATTCCACAGTAATTTGTCTACAACAAGATTAGCTACTTTTAAATCCACAAATTATTCATGAAGAGTGAAGATTGTGGACTCAGTGGCAAAAGACAAATCTTTTTTTCACAAGAATCTCAAGCTGCTCTTCACTCTAGCGGTGACATCACGCACTCTAAGCTGCGCAATTCAGAAAGCAATAGTTCAGGGTTTTCTCAACATTTGAAAATATTCTCCATAGACATCCCATTCAAAAAAAAAGTTGCTAAAAGCTTAATAATTCAAAAAGTTTAAAGATTAGAAATAGTCATAGCAGACGTGTCCTTAACGAGCTGAACATTTTGACAGTTGAACGGTTTCTGTAGCTTAAAAAATGTGGAAGGAGTTAAGTAGCAAAATACGTACGGAAGAAATATAAACGGTTGAATAAAGAGAAACAGGATAACAATAAACAGGATAACAATTGTTGGAATGCTTAACAGCATTCCAACAATTAGGAATAATAGTGGTAAATTAAGCTATGATGAGTTTTCACTGTTACTTTACCATCTCAATTGAATTGTGATGCCTCCATGACCAAGTTAAGCAAATGAGATTGAGGACAACTATGTACAAGAAAAGATGTTCACTTTGCCTAATATGGCTAGCTTGACAGAGTTATCCATGTGTATTTATATATACAATTATTTATTTATAACTATAAATTCATTTCTCAGACAGGTGCTTCATATCCCTTACTCCCGTAACTGTCCATGCTGGATCTGTCCCCGTTGTTTTAAAAAGCAAAATAAGGCATCATAATGACTGCATCCAGCCAGCCAAACCTTTCTGGTGTACAGCTACTAGAGAAGCTTTGCATGTACTGCTTCCCTTTCCCACTAGTCTGCTGTCTGATTGTGAGGTCAGGCTGATCTGGGATCAGCTCTGTCACCTGTAGTTTCTCCGCCAAAGTTCTCCTCTCAAATGGGTCTTGGGGGAGTAGTGCTTACACTGGCCTGTAGACACGCAGACAGGCAGAGAGGACGTGCAGGAAAAGCATTTATTTTGCGCAGATATCATATTTTACACATATTACTGGGTGAATTCCATATTTAAAAAACACAAATATTGACAATTTGTATAATTTACCATTTTTTATTTTTTGTGGCTCAAGGGGCGGCCGCCACTGCAGGGAGTTATTAACAAGTTAGTAACAACAGCGGGGAAGGAATGTTCTTTCCCTCTTCCTTTTCTTGTCTCTCACATAGGACACTGATTTATGGTGAAATGTTCAGATTAATGTCCATTCAGTTATTATGCGTATCCGTACACACACGTGCATATCTACATAGGTCTGTCTGTCATGATATCAACGTCCATCTATGTTGTGTACTTGTTTAATTATTTCTCTCTTTAATTGATCAGGCTTTATTCAGTGATTTATATCAACTGTTTATTGTTCTGCCGCTGAGATAGCACAAATTCCAAATATGGAAGAATTAAATAGACTATGTTAGTAACTAGTATTAATTCGGTAAAATAAGGTTAAATTAAATACTCAAGATGGTTGTTAAGATGGGAGTGGTTTTGCTGTTCCCGCCATAAACTGCACCCCTTTTCTCAAGAAGAAAAAGCAACGAGTGGACTTCTCTCTCTTCAATCTTCTACAGTACACTGTACTTCGACTCTGGACTTTTGCCCTGTGTGTTTGCCTAATGAAAGTCTTTTTTTGCATATGAAAGACAGGAACGTGCATGTCCGGTGACACATAACCCAAAATGAAAATATCTTTCATCAGGCAAATTTAAATAGCAATGTTCCTATAGCCCGGTAAATGCCAGAGGGCAGCCACTGTCTTGTTTCCTGACAATTTCTCATAGATGGGACAGGCCAACTCACCAGAAAGGAATTCATCACTTCCATTTTGAAGTGGGAGTCAACAAGTTTTATTTTGCATGTATCTTTCCAACTAGGGCCATATATATATAGACAGAGCAGGCCGTGCGATTGCACTGGGGCCCATTGGGTGGGGTAGCCCAGAGAGAGCAGGCCTCCTACAATGTGTTGAGCAGAGAATGGGCCCTTGGGAGAAATTAGAAACTGTGTTCGAACTCGGTTAAATTTGAAATGGTGCCATTTGCTATATATGTCCTTGAAAATACAAATCCATGGTTTTCTTTTTTCTTTTGATAATGTCAGTAGGAATCTATGACAAAATAATGCTTATTCTACGTAAACTATAAAAAAAAACCTATTAAATTAATACTTTTTTCGGGTGTTTTTTTCATAATCAGATATACAAAGATAATTGCAGGGTAATATGTACAGTAAGTTGATGTGAAGCGATGTTATGATATACAGTGGCTAGTCCTGATAACTTTCTCTTTGATCTCTCTACTTCCCCAATATAATAGCCTAAGTAACTCCTGCGTCTGTAGAATTAAACACATTGTTGGTAAATCATAAATAATACGCTTAATGGTGTGTGTGTGTGTGCGTGTGTGCAGGCATACTGTACTTCATAACTAGTAACTATATGCATTGGGGGCACGTTGTAACTACCTTACGCTGCTGTTTCCAATATTTGAAGTAGGCTGATTTCTGGCACCAGAGGACTAAATGTGAGCCACACTTGTCACAATTAAGATGTACCTGTGATGTGGGCTGATTTTCTATAGGTGGTGCTCTTTTATTTATTTGATAAGTAGTGGTGGCTCTTTTACAGATGCAATCGATCACCAACATTTACAACAGTCAACATATTTTTAAGCTAATATTGCACAGTTTTGGCATATACTACTCTCTGCTTTCATACCTGCATTCTGACCGGTGTCATTATCTTATCTGCTAGACATGGCTATACTGCCTGCCTAAACCCTGTAATCAATCCTGTAAACCAATCATATCAGTGAAACCAAGGTGACAGGCCTGTTTGATGAGGCCATGATTGAGTCTGGTCGTCTCTCTGATTTGCCCCAACCAATCCTGTTTCAGTGAGGTAACGTTTTCTTGAGCAGTTGAAGGCTTTTAACTGTTTTCCTTCTCTCTATCTGTCGACCTGGAACTGAGTCAACTCCCTGTGTAGCCCAGGGATCCTGCTGTCATCAGTGGGATTTGATTGCCTTTATATAGTTGCTCCTCTCTTTTCTCTTTGTCCCTGACCCACATACATGCACACGCTTTCATGCATAGGCAGCCGTGTTACATTCAAATGGGTTTCATCTAAACATGTTGCTTCTGGTTGTTAAAACGAATGACGCTGTTCTAAATCACTGTTCCACACCAAGTCCATCACTTCCAAGGAGTTTGACTTTCGCTGACTGGTCTTTACACTTATTTCACAAGGCTGTTTATCACAAACACCTCCAAGAGTTTGTGTCTCACCATCATTGTAGTTGCAGCCAGTGATGCAAATATGAACATCTATATCTATAACTTCTTAATTTTAGCCTGCAGAGGGCAGCATTTCTCAACTCTTCTACCATCAGTGTGCAAACAATGGGTTGTCTCAGCAGCAAACAGAGAGACGGTTATGCAAAAAATAAGATGTACTTAAAAATGATTATGTTGTTGAATGTATTATAATAACTGTTTTAGCAACAATTTGGATATTTAATATTTGCAGCTGATTATTGTCGAGTGTGTGTGTGTGTGTGTGTGTGTGTGTGTGTGTGTGTGTGTGTGTGCGCGCGCGCGCGTGGTTTTTCAGCTGCTGATATAATTTGAACAAAATGAATCATCTTTGTGAAGTATAACAGCACCAAGTTTACTTTAAGTATTGTTGATGTTTATAATGTTGCAGAGGAAAGAGGGCTGATTATCCCAAATTGAGATTAAGTAAATTGATTGGATTGATACTGTTATTCTGTTTTGTCAAAACTACAAATTTTAAACAATTTAAACATGACATTTTCTTCTTGCTGCTTTTTTCAGATGTCTTCAACAGCAGAGTAAAGACAAAATGTGGAATTTGGTCTTCAAACATTCTCTAAATGACAGTTCTGCACTTGACAAGGACACAATGTCTTTCAGACCTTTTCTAAATACTGCAGCATCTGTGTGCAGTGTTTAAAATGTATAAATGGATGGATTGCAACTCAGAAACATACTAAATATACTATCTAAACATAGCTGTAGAAATCTGCCAATACTGCCCCACGGAGAATGGATTGGACGTTCTATCAAATGTCAATATAGAGAGTATAAAGAAGATTAAAGCTATAAAGAGGACTGTTCAGAGTTGTTGCACAACCATCAAGAACAACGGAAAGCAAATAGGCAAATAAAAACCTGTACGTCACAGATCAGAAGAAAGTAACAACATTGTACCTTCTGGTCCAGAGATGAGTGTTCCTCTTCATGGTGCAGGAGACTACAATGGGAATGCTTTCCCAATTTCCTCTTCTACCTCCTCTTCCTACTCATGTCTGGGGGAGTCGTCTCCTGAGTTACTGAGGAGTCTGAGCAGCCTCAGTGGGGGCCGGACCAACAGCCCTCTGGACTATGACATGTTTGAGGTCACCCAGACGACAACGGTGATTACCAAAACCGACAAAATGACTGATGTTGTAATTTCAAAATGGATACCAGAGGAGGAAAGTAAACCACATGACAATGATGACATCTCTGTGGGAAAGATACAAAAAGTAACAGAGATATCAGAATCTAATGACAACTCAGTGTCTGTTTACCTTGACGCAAACAGCTTTGAATACCGCCAAGACACTTGGAACGACAATGACAACCTGACACTGGCACTGTCCTTGACGACGAGCAGCGTCAATGATGACCTCAGTAGTCAAAGCAGTAATGGGAGAAGGCATGGCTCCTCGACTCCAGACTCCGACGCAACAGAAATCCCTGCTGATGTTGATGACGATGAAGAGGAAGCTTTGTTTCTGTCTGTGAGCTCTGACATGGGTGTGCGGAAAAGCAGCATAACCCTCAGCTCAATCAGTCAATCCAGCAACAACCTGATGAACCCAGGTGGCTCTGCTGTGTCGACAGAGGGGACTGTGACTGTGAGTGTAGTTGATGATGAGAGGGCATGTCTCCTTGGTCTACCTGTGGAAGACCAGACAGAGCCTCCCTCTGAGGATGTTTGTGAAACCACTCAGATATTATCTTCGTCCCCCTCTCCTACCAATCCAGATCAAGATGCTAACGAAGTCGCATTTTCTCAACTTGAGGAAACTGAAAAATGCGATGAGGGGCCCAAACCATCCAACCCTAACACCAGTCAGCCAGCCAGAGCAGCAAAAACCAAACCAACCATTGCCATTTCAACTGCTCCCAAGACAACTGTGTCCACAGCCATCAAAGCGTCCAGTCTGGAGGCAAAGAGAGTTTCCAAACTAGATCTGAAAGATGTTGAGGCTAAAGTTGGATCACGGCCCAACCTGTCTCCATCTAAAACACCCAACCAGGTAGTGTTTATAAAAGGCTCACATGTACACATTTTTGTAGAGCTGTCTTCTGTCTAACATTTCTAATTTATTTTTTATTCAGCAGAACAAATCTGCTCCAGCCAATGGAAAGAGAGCTGTTCCTAGGAAGGAGGAAGAAAAGACTGGGGATGGGGGTAATAAGCAAAGGTCATCTGCAGGTCCAGTCAAAGTGGCCGTGGTGCTGAAATCTATTAGAAGAAAGAGCAGTAACCCCAAAACCAACCACCAGACAGCAGCCAATGGCTCCGCTCAGCCAGAGAGGAAGAGTTTGGCTGTCAGTCGAACATCTGAGGCAGTTAAGGAAGGAGCCCTGGAAACTCCCAGGATGGCTGTCCAAGAAGTGAGTGATAAACATGTCACAGTTGGATGTGTGGAGACTAAACATCCAGGTGAAGATGCTCACGAAGGTACTGGAAAAACTTTAAAGACTGAGGCTGCTGTGGGGAAATCAATGAATCCTAGCAGGGTAAGTACTATGCGCTAATCATGTTAAATTGTGTTTAAACTAAGCTTGTCTGCCTTAAACTTGTGTGATCAGTCAAGAATCCCAAAACAGATCTGGCATGAGATGTAGGTTCTATATCGTATCGGCTTCACCCTCTTAAGAGCTGTCACTATTGGGTTTATTCCCGCAAGCATGCACAGTCTAGAAGATTTTTATCACGCCCTTATAATATGCAAGGGCTCACCTTTACGTCTGCACATGTGACATATAGCAGCTTTGCGACCATAGTTCTTCTCCTAGTTTTTCTTCAGCGCCAAGCAGTCAACAAGTGAGGAAGTAAAGAAGATGAAAAGGTCTAGTGGTGTCCATCGGTGTACCGGCTGCCGCCTCGGCTACTTCCTCCCATCTTGCCCCTCACCTCAGGTGTGAAAGCTGTCTCTGCACTGTCCATGCGCAGCTACCCCGCAGGCCTCTTGCCCTCTTACCTACAGAAGAGCTGCAGTATCAAGCAGGGGATTTTACAGCGCTTTGTATTGAAGTTGGCGGGATGACAGCTGGGCAGACTGTCTGGATACTTTGCCAACGGATGAGCTGAACATCTCCATCTGCGACTTTCCGGACATCCCGGTTGAGGACCACTGTAAGGGGCATGAGTCTGCTGGCTCAGCTCTCTCCATGGCAGACTCTCTTCCTGGCTCTCCCTCATTCCTGTCGAGAGCACTGGAGTGATGATTGATGGTTCGGCCGCTCACTGCAGTCAGACCTGGCATGCTGGAAAAATCCCTGTTTTCTGTCATCGGGACGTGACGAATTCTGAGTGAATTCCCATACATCAGAGTACACGGGATCATCCCTCTCTGAAAGGGTTGGGATATGCCAGACTCAAGTTGTGAGGAAATGGGGAATCCTCCATCCCTTCACATAAACTGTCTGTACTAAAAGTTCATCAACTGCCAGGGCGGCTTGCGCTCAGCCCGGCTGCTGTGGTTATATAGGCACTTACTCAACATCAGAGCTGTGTACATCCCAGGGGTACAGTACTGCGCTGCAGAATATCTTGCTGAGGTCCATCCCACAAGTGGAAACCGAGTCCCACACACCCAGTTCCGATCTTGGGTGATGGGTTTGGTAAGGTGAAGATGGATCTGTTCAGAGAGAATGCACAGCTGTGGCTCAGAGATAGTGGGTCATCTTCCAATCAGAAGATCCCCGGTTTCTCCACTCCATGTCGATGTGTCCTTGGCAAAACAAGTTAACCTACCTTCAAACGTTGGAAGATAAAAATTTGACTCCATCTACACTTAAAGTTCATGCCGTCATTTAGCCCTGCCATGAAAGCTATAGAGAGAGATCGGGTAGCTGAGTATGACTTAAGATATACCCTGGTGGGGACACGTGATTGGTTGAAAATGGAGGTGACATCTGATTGGCTACAGATAATTCCCTGTTGAAAAAAATCGTGTATTCATTTTACATTTGTTTAAAACAATAATATTTGTGTGTGCATCAGAAATATATTTGTGAATCTTATTTTTTTTATATGTGGAATAACTATTTTTATGCGCAATGAAAAGTAGTTACAGCTTTGCAGCTAAATGGAAAATAGCAGTCATGGTATGTGCTCAAGCAGAGTTTAGTGGAGTTTAACATTGTCATTAAAATGTTTACTCAGTGGTAGGTAGGATGCAATTATGAAAAGTATATTCACCTAAATAAAAACTGATGCAAATCTTCCTTTTGAGCTGTAGTTGCCTGATCCCCTAAGCTGTGTTGTTGTTTAACATAATTTACTTTACACAGAGAGAGACAAAGTCAAAAATGCTTAAAGTGTGTTTTAAATGAGGGAGTGGTATGTGTACAGTGTGTGTGCTCTGTCTGGTATGTCTGGTATGTGTTTTTAAAGGGACAGGTTTAAAAACTGCCCCAGCGTATCCTCTCATAGATAGCCTCAAGGGTATATCAGCACAGGGAGTGTTTAGAACACATTTACAGTAACCAATACATGTGTCTTAGAAACTAATATACTAAGACACATGTCAATGCTGTTTTCTGTGCATCAGCCTTTATACTGTAATGCTCGTCATGATTATGGTCATAAGTATTTTTCATATACCTCCCTAAATGTTATGATTTGATGATATTCCCATTCATACTAGCATGAGTTCAGATGTCTAAATGATTCAATTAGAGTAACTGAAGGACCTTTTAACTTTATTATAACTTTATTTTATCGAAATTCAGAGAAATGGTGTTACACGTGTGCAGTAACATTCACTATCCACCCATCCATGTATTACCAAACAAAGCATCAGTTAGGCCCAGTCCAGCGGCCAGCTCACATGTCAACACATGATTTAGTGCGTATTGGTATGCTACAGTAATCCTTGGGCGCAGCCTCTTGGCTCAGCTGAAAAGTTGAGGAGGCTGTAAATTACAAGAACAATCTGAAGTGTTTCATCCCCTCTGACTGAGCTCTGCTCTGTGATTCTGTGTAGGGAGGTGACAAGGCAAAAGGGATATTATTAGTGAATGTATTGACCTAAGTTGACTTAAGAATGGATTTGTGAACATTCTCAAACTTCTTCCTCACTCTCTCAAGTGCCTGACTGCACAAATAGGTAATAATACATAACAAAGCAGTTGCTATATGTTGAGCCTTTGCTTTAAAAAGTCTGAGACAAATGCCAGGCCCCTATCCACAAACTCACTCCATGTGTGCTGGTGTTTATAGAGTCAGAGGGGGTGGAACACGAAGGGTTGGGGGTGGGGGTAAGACAGACCGAGAGAGAAAATAGGCCTGGTCAGAGACAGGATTGTACAACACAATACCAATTTTTTTTTTTTTACAACTCTTGTGGTTGCAGCAATTTTCCCTCCTACCTCTTCTTTCCTGCTCTTTCTTTTCCTTCTCCCCCTCTGTCTTAACACACTCTCCCTCACTCCTCCCCTCTTCTCCTTCACTGCCTCCCTATAGTCCACATTTCTGACTCTGAGCGGGGAATGGCTAACACCATGGTCTCAATGCGCAGCTCGGAGCTGGGGTCACTCGGCTGGGACGCTGTCACTAAACGTCATCTCTTTCTACAGAAAGTCTCCTCAAAGCTGGGGCCCAATTCCAGGCATCAAGGGAGATGCACCAGAGTGGATAAGGGGCCCCTGGGACCGGCTCCACCTCCAGGTTCAGGGACTGGACCTCCAGGACAGGGGATTCCTGGACCCAGGCAAAACCAGAGTGATGGTTACACGTTGGGAGAAGGTGGACAGAGCACTGGAGGCAGATCTCCAACGAGGCAGAGCCAAAGTCAGTGCCAGGGTGAGTCAATATGGTTTCTGCACGGATGTAGAGACATAAACATGAGCTATTTCAGTACAAGACACATTTACTTTATAATCCCTTGAATGTAAACACACAGTAGAACATGGATTGTATGTCTGCTCTGCTCTACAACACGCTTCTCAGTTGTCTGTCAGGCATATAGACTTGTCATTGTCTCTGCAGCAGACTCAGGAAATGAGCAGGCTGACACTGCAGATCTGCAAGATAAAATGCCTTCCACATACCGCATACGCACACATACTCACACACACACTCACACACTCTGTTTTTCAGGCCCTAGAATACGCTGTTTTGTGATTTCCACACTTATTTCGATGTGTGTGTGTGTGTGTGTGCGTGCAGCTGGTGACTTAAGGTCGTATCGTATTGGTGTTTCAGCTGCAGTGTTGCATAACAGCAAAACTCTATTTCTTTGAAATAGGAAGTTAAAGAACACATGGGTATCATTTTTCCTCTTTAATGCTTTCATCTTTTTTTCCTTTTTCTCTGTTATCCTCTTTTTGTTATTTTGTTTCCCCTTTCTCTTCTCTTATTTTATCCTGAAAGGAATTTCAGGTTGGTGTCTGTGTCCGGTCTGTCGCTTTGTACTTTTGGCGTCATGTCGGTAACATCCTGACACTTGTGTGTGTGTGTGTGTGTGTGTGTGTGTGTGTGTGTGTGTGAGTGAGTTAGTTAGTTAGTTAGTTAGTTAGTTAGTTAGTTAGTTAGTTAGTTAGTTAGTTAGTTAGTTAGTAAATATGCTGGTGATGAGAAACTGGTGGGACACTCCCTTTAAACACGGTGTCCCCTGTCTGGTGTCCAGTGGCCTGTAACTCCACTTGTGTGTGTGTGTGTGTATACATAACCAGATCCAGACTTCATTACAAATCTTTTCCATTACAGGTTCAGCCGATTTATTTATGTTCGTAGTGTTTTTTATCTGTTCTTAGATATGATAGGTTTCTGTAAACAGTTATATCTGCTTATAAGAAAAAATAAATGAGAGTAAACTGAGCAGTCAACCTTTTATCATGTGGTCGGATTAGGGTCAGGTCTTGAAAACACCTGTCAATAGATGGTCCACTATCTGTTAAACTGCTAAGCATTGATCAGCATATCATGTCACTTATAAGTTGAATGTGTCCTGTGCTGGCCACATAGTATGCCGCAGCAATACGGTCGTCTTTCCTATTTGCTATGCTGATTCATACTTTTACTTTTCTATGGATTTGGTTATGTCACTCAACTGTTTACTGCTTTGGTGTACCTGAGGCAGAACACATGCTATGCTACTCACAACCTTATCCTTGTAGATAGCATATGGCTGAGAGCTTCAGATCAGGAGACACTTTTATTGAGAAGGATTTAGGCCAGAGGAAGATGTCTGAATATGTTTGTTGCATTTGCTGCCATGAGTTCTCCATTGAGCCACCAGTTTTCTTTATTATAAGAGAGTATTATCATACACTCTGTGGGTTTTTCACAATACATGACTCAATGTTGTCACGTTTACTGGTATAAAAATGTTGTAAGTCGGGGATTGCAGCAGGAATGTAGTCACTGAAAGGTCTGCACTGGCGTAGTCAGACAATTGTGTGTACATGTGTGTTTTTGTGTATCAACAGTAAGCACGAGGCAAATCTTTAGAGAGCCAGCTCTTACCTAACAATGATTTCTGGGTAACAGAATCCAGATGCTTTCCTCCAGCTAGCTTCTCATCACAACTGAAGCCAAATGAAGCCAGATGTTTCCTGCTGGCTTCAGTTGCAGTACAAGTTTTACGGCTGCTCTACCTTCACCAATAGAGACTATGTGTGTGTGTGCACGCTTATGCACGCGTTAATGTGAGGTAATGTAATTGCGGTGAACACATGTAAACTTTTTTCCCTCTCTTTATAACGAGCCTTTTTTCTTTGTGCTTTCTGTCCCTCTCTCTGTCTCTCTCTCTCCCCTCTGCAGCCAGAATTCATGTTTGTAGAAAGTTGGTTAAGGAAACTTTAATGATGTCTGTGGATAAATGAGCTTGTTGCAGTCAATAATAGGGTACGGCCCAGAATGATAGAGAAAATTGTTGGTCGTAAACATACAAAACCAACAGTATTAAGTACAAATGTATAAAATGAAAATAATTTACAGCACTTGCAGGATGCACAAAAGAACAAAGGAGAAAACGTGTCTGTTAGAGACTTCCTGGGTGCCAAAAAAGAAGTAGGATAACTTGCATATTTAGTCATCAGTCGTTTGTTTGTATGACTGTGCGTTCAAATACGTAGGTGCAGGGGCAAATACAGCCATACTTCAACTTTGAGAATAGACCTAGAGACAAGATGTCCTTGTCCTATTTCTATGTGACGGTATTTAGTCTGTTCCTGTCTTCCAGGATCAGTTCATCAGGTTGGTCCCAAACAACTGATCATTGAATACTATTAGTTAAAATGTTTTTCAAGAATGAGATTACTTTTTGTTAAGTTGTTTTTGTTGTTGTCATACAGGAAGTGAGCCACACATCAAAGCAACTCTTCTAAATTCAGTAGAATACTGTGATGTCTATATATCTTTATGCAACAAATCAGTGGTTGTATGTTGTTGGGGAGTTAGGTTAGCTGTCTGCTGTAGTCTCTGTAGTGCATGCTGTAGAGGAGACACTTATTCAGGTCATTAAACAAAAAAGTGGTATTCCCTAAGTATAGCACATCATGTTTAACATGTATTCTTCTGTTGGATGGACAAAATGATCAACAAAACCGATTGTACTAGACCTTTTTAATGAATAAATGAATGGCACTAAGCTGTGGCTGTTGAGATGCTGTCTCTTTCATCACTGATAGTCCAATGATAATACATTTCTTCTTATTGCAACGTTAAGAGTGAGGTCCTCTGAGTAGGAGGACGAACAGGAAGAAAGAGTTCATAGTTCAGAGGGAGGCAAGGTGTGTGGACAAGAGACAGAATGCCTGTTTTCTCTTTTACAACAATGCCCTGAAAAGCAATTAGCCAAGGCAGTAAAATGCTTTACAAGGAAATGTATAAGGAATGGGAGACGAACTTAGGACCCCACGGGCACATTGTGTAGAGCTATAGGAGGAATCAACAGTGAAACCAGTAGACACAGCCTCAGTCTTATGTGAATAGTGGATGAGACTGTGACTGACTACAAGCACGTCATCACTGTGGAAGGGGCCAATCCAAACACCTTAGTGTCTGCCCACGATATGAAGCATTGCTTAAAGGCCAGAGAAATCACACTGCAGATCCCTGTCCATCCATCTGTTGTAGCAAGGACAAGCAGTACCTCCGGGGCCTCCCTGCTTAGCTGGAAATCAGGCTGCATGTCCTGAGAAACACAGACACTGCCAGAGTAATATGACAGTACTGGGCTCTCTGATTTGGAAGACAAGTTCTTAAATATGCCATGAGTTAAATTTGTGAATAAAAAAATAATATGAAATAATTGTAAGCAGTGTTGACAGTTGAAGACAGTCAAGAAATTTGAAGGGGCCATTCAGTGATTTACTACATTAAAACAGCATCAGCACAAAAACACACACACACACACAAAAAGTCGTGTTTTCATGGTATTACATTGACTTGCATTCATTTTCATTAATTTACCCTAAGGCAACCAAAAGGCGAGTCATATAAATGTATGTCCCCACAAGCATGCTCACATGTGACTCTTAACTAAGCTGATTCAATGCTTTGACTGTTGCCATGGTAATTAACATCCAAATTGGTATTCGAATGTATCATTTTTTTTTTTTTTTTTTTTGAATTGAATTGAATTGAGCATGCATGACCAAAACGAATAGTTCAATGTTTTTGCATCAACATTAAAGGTGAAGTCTGCGTTTCTAATCAAATAACTTTTTTTTTTACCTCAGTCTTCCTCCTAATTTAGTTCAGAAGCTATGAGGCAATGAATATCATAACGTGTGACATTAACCTAATAATACTCTGTTGCATCTACGACTCATCTACCGGTTTAGATCGTTGTTTGTTGTCCGATCAAAGAGAGGTGATTTCTGGGTCAGGGTTTGGTTCTAAATGGATGTAGTGAAGCTAATTGTCTACCTTTACATGGGATGAATACCTACCTCTTTTATATTATAATTGGTCAGCTCACAGAAACAGCTGTGTATGTCATGTGTTAGTAAATGTTCAACTTTACTAGAATGTACTTTAGTTTCAAACTCTTGTGTCTGCGTTAAAAAGAACAGCAGCTTTCCATTCACTGCTCAGCTGATATCTTTTGACGTCTCTTCTTTTCTTTGTTGCATACACATATGTGATACATACAAAATATTATGTTCCCAGTTAGTATCAAAGTTCATCAGACTGTTTTAGACCAAATATTATTTCCAAAGTCTATTTCTGTATTGTGTCTGTAATGATGAATAAAGCTCATTTATTGCCTTCTGTATTACTCTGTCTCCCAGGTATCCCAAAACCTCGCACCACCGCAGCTGTCCTGGGTCCCGCAACGTCCAACTCTAAACCAACAGCCAATCAGCAGGCACTGGGGCCTGTCAGAAGACCTGCTGCACCCGTCGCATCAAAACTTCCTGTAAAGGGACTACCCACAAGCCTCACTTCCTCGTCACTGGAAAGCACTGAGATCAGTGGAGCCACAAGCAAAGGTGAGGTGGTGGGCCTCTTCTCCCCTCTCGCTCAAACACAACTTAACTGACTTACTTTCACTTTCTCAAGCCCCCACACATATGCAGAGTCTGTCTCCACCGTACACACACACACACCTAGTTTCCATGATAATATTTATGTTCTGTATTTAGTCGTATCAGAGAAAACTTTTAGTGTAGTGCTGTATATCCTCACACAGTTAGTTTAATGACTCATTTATTTACGCCTTACAGACAGATCTGTCTCTGAAGACATTATACTGTGTGCGTGTGCGCGCGCACGCATTGCCGGGAATATCTGGTCCACCCAGTGTCTTTCTGGTGGTAAACACTAAATTTCTATTTTATTGTTTGGTTTGGAAAGCGCCAAATTTGCAAAAAAACATATTGTGCATAATATCCTTTTTCTGCAGCTGCACTGGTGACAGATTGCATGTGCTGCTGGACTGTGCTCCACAGACCTCATCTACTGCTCTGTGACATGCCTTGCCACATGGACATTGTTATTTTTTGTCTTCAACATTGGAATTCTGACCACTTTGTCCTGTAACAGACAATGGGGGATCCTCCGCTCTTGCCATCTGGATGGCCTGCTCCACCTGTACAGACAGTTCAACCCTCCTCAGTCCATCCCTTTTAGGAGCAAAGCCTGAAGAGGATGTGCAGTGTGCCTATTGCACCCTGCCTGCTAACCCAGAGAAAAAAGAAGACCCTCAATTGCGCAGCAGCTGAAGCATTGTGTCCACACATCTGCTGAAGGTGGGGGGCCAGGGCGTAGCCAAACGGCAGTTTGTGTACTCGTAGGCTATCCCCTTGAAGGTGAAATACAACAATATCCGTTTTTTTTCGAAGTCACCTCAACCTGAAAGTATGCACCTTTGTAAATCGAAGGTGGTGACCCAATCGGCTGAACCAGTTCCAGTAACTGCTTGATGGTTTACATTCGGAAGTTATTGTGGGCAATGTGGGTTATGCAGAGTTGAGAACAGGTCTGTTTTACTGCCCATCCTCTGGTTCTCCAACATGCTCTGTGAGCCCTTGCTTGCCTCTTAGCCGCCACAGAATGAGTGAGATCGGTGGGAGACGCTCAAGGTCTTGTAGAGCGCTAGCATCAAATCTTGGTAGTGCTCTGCAGACTAACCAGGCAGGCTTGTGGCTGACCGAAGAGGTTCTTGAAGCTGGAGTCAGTGCGAGAAAAAGGGTGTTGAGCAGTGATGTGTGCTGGTTTATATACTTTGGGGTCTGCACTTACTTGGGTAGTCCTGATTGGCCGCCAATGCTTATGCAAATTTCCAGTGGGCGAATGTGTGCTATTGGAGGACAGTAAAACCCAAAACGTCCAGTAGAGGGTGGGCCTTTTGTGAGTTATAACCACATGCGACATACCCTCGGTGCATTTCTGTTGCACTTATACGTCCACATTTGCTTAATCTCTCCCGATAAATCAGATCAGATACAACAAGTGAGCTGTAGGTCTCCACATGGTGAAAGAAACACACATAATAAACATTAGACAGTCCTTGTTCTTTATTACCTCACAAAACCCATATATATATATACATATACAGTGGGTACAGAAAGTATTCCGACCCCTTTCAATTTTTCACTCTGTTTCATTGCAGCCATTTGCTAAAATCAAAAAAG